TAAAAGGCATGATTCCGGTAGTAAATTTCTTCAAACAAAATGTTCCCTGCTATACTTACGGAACTTTACGCCATGTTATCTCTCTACCTTTCCCGTTTATGTTTATGGGATATACGAAGTTCTTTTGTTTAAAACAACCAAAAAAAAATATAAAACATTATAACGTTTTACAAAAAAATATCCTCAAGTTGATCATAATGATTTAAATGTTTAATTTTTTTTTCTCGTCATAAACCGGATTAAATGATAAAAAAAAGATACGTCAAAATTAATAATCAAGTTTATTCATCAATTTTTTTTTTTCAGATAAGAATTACCTTTATGTTATTCAGAAAAGTCATAAAAAGTTTTTTAAATTAAATATTGTCTCAGTTTTATTGGGTTTTGTATTTCTACAATTGAGGTAAAAGTTTGGACAATTTTGCACATTTTTTTACCAAAAAAAATCGATGATTTAGAATCTTCAGAGTCTTGTGCATTTAATTGAAAAAAACAAATTCAGGCTTTGAAAATGAATTTTTGAAGTTTTCATAAAATTAAGTTCGAGGGGTGTAACAGATATAAAAAAAATATATTTATACCATGACTTTCAAAAAGACAAACATTTCTAAAATAATTTCATTCATTTGTGAATAAATTCTGAAAGTTTCATTAAAATCCAACAAGTACTTGATTTTTGCAAGATTTTCCAAATCAATGTGTTTTTTTCAACTGAAAACAGGGAAAAACAAGTAATGTTAATATTACCTAATTTTTGACCTAAAAAAAACAAGATTTTCAACCTAAATTTAAAAAATGCTGCAAATGAAAAAAAATTTTTTTAAAATAATTAAAAAATACCTTGGTCTTCCCTCTTTAATTTTAGCATAAACATTTACACGTTACAATTTTTTTTATCAATTTGGGGACCTTTTTTCTCCAGGGTATACCACTTTTTTAGCGTTACCGAGGACAACCCTGATTTTAAGATAATCAAGTAAGACACTTCACGTCAAAATCTCAAAAAATATTCTTCTTCTTCATTTATGTGCCGTGTCCTTTCAGGACGTAGGCGATCATGGCTCTCCACCCCCTCCTGTCCCTTGTAGCTCTCAATAAGTTTGTCTTTTTGTTATTTCTCCCAGACCCTGTTCTGCGACACACTTGCTCAAGCTCGTTAAGTATGCCACGCGTTGCCCTCCCTTGTTCCTCTTTCCCTCTATCCGTCTTGTGAGTATCAGATTTTCCAAGTCCTCCTTTCTCGTTACGGTTCCCAGAAATTTCAGCTACCTCTTCCTTTTAGTATAAGTTTCCTCATTGTTTGCATCTCTCATCGTTGCTCACAGGCTGTCCATGATATCCTTAGCATCCTTCTGTTGCCTCGAGTCTCTTCTTCATCCTTGAGGAGACCGTCCAACATTCGCTACCGTAAAGGAGGACAGATATAACATAGCAGTTCAGTACACTTTTCTTTGTTACCAACGAAATCCTCTTGTCTCGTAATAATCTGCTTAGCTTTTGGAGAAAATATTACAGTGCTATTATTATTATTATTATTGGCGACAATAGTGCATCCAATAAATTGAAAGGAAGAGACGGCTGTGGAAAAAGAAAACTAAAAAACAAAGCAAAAAACAAAAAGACAAATAAAGAAGAAAAAGAACTTGATTTGGTTTGATTTGATTTGGCTTGTTTTGTTTTACGGCATATCAACATCTCAAAGGGTTATTTAATGCCGACAAGATTTTTATTGCTGGTAATATTTTTATAATTTAACATAATATTATTTTTGGTTTTAAGTCAAGTACGGCGCCTTTCTTAAGGATGTTCATCTTTACATCAAGAAAATTATTCGATCCTTTAGTTGTTTGGTTTGGTTTGTTTTACGGCATATCAACATCTCAATGGGTTATTTAAGGCTGATAAGATTTTTATTACTGGTAATATTTTTATAATTTAACATAATAATATTTTTGGTTTTAAGTCAAGTACGGCGCCTTTCTTAAAGATGTTCATCTTTATATCAAGAAACTGATTCGATCCTTTAGTTGTTTGGTTTTGTTTGGCTTGTTTTACGGCATATCAACATCTTAATGGGTTATTTAATGCCGACAAGATTTTTATTGCTGGTAATATTTTTTTCCAATAATGTATTGCTGGTAATATATTTTCCTTCAAAAATCCAATGCTGGTAATATTTTTTTCCAAAATGTTTTGCTTGTAATATTTTTTTTCAAAAATGTATTGCTGGTAATATTGTATTGCTGGTAATAATTTTTCCTTCAAAAATTTATTGCTGGTAATAATTTTTGCCAAGTTTTTTCCCGTATTAAAACCTATTTTTACACTTTCATAGTATTTTGACAACCGTTTGGGGTCTAACTATTTGCCCATAGCTGGAAACCTAACAGGTGCTACCACCCAGTGTCAAGGTGGATCTGGGAACACCAGCAATTAAAAAGTGGTTCCACGCTTCTCAAACCTCCTGATCATAGGCCTTGCTGCCTGATGTAGTTTATCGTCATACTCAGGATGGTCTGAGTGTGGAACAACAAGAAAAAGAAAAACATTATTAGGAAGCGAGAACAATCAAAGAGTACTCAAGAAATAGTAGATAACTTTTTTTAAAAATCGAAATTTGCACCAAGCAAGGCAGTAAAGCCGCTAAGACACAAGAGGTTATTGAGTGTGAAAGAATTCGAAAACAGAAACATTAGTAAGGAGCGAGGTCAACAAAATGAGTAATGAGGAATATAGTAGATTAAGATTGGCATTGCATTTAAATTTTGGAAGGTCAAAGTTGGAAAGCATGGAGCCGGAAGAGATTTCCACAAGCGAGAAGTGCAAGAAAAGGAACTGTTAGCATAGAACTTACGGTTGCATCTAGTCAACTCAGATGTAATTGTTGGCAATCTAGTCCTGCGCTTATCTATTCATAAAGTCTAGGTACCATAGCGAAGAGCGATATGTATTTGTAAATTATTAGAAAGTGTGGCACAAGGCCAAAATGGGGAATGGTGGGGGGAAAGGATGATCTTCTTCTGTCTGAACGTTAAACTTAGCAAGCCACAATCACTGACCCAAACACTCACAAGTCTTGGGGTCAGTGATTGTGGCTTGCTAAGTATAACGTTAAGAAAACATGGGAACAGTCGAATAGATTGTTCTACTGCGCTGTGATTGTTCGCAGCTGCTGTCAAACTCTCTGCCTTTGGGCAGAGAGGAACCCGGTCGAGGCTGTGCCAAAGGGCAGAGTTTCGTCCGGGGAGGTAGATAGACCCGAAACCGCTTGTGCGGGTTCTACGGGAATATTTTTGATCGAGCCTACGGGCTCGGAGAACCCACGGTAAACACGGCCTTGTGCCATATACATCCCTCGTAGGTGGTGGGGGGTGTTAAATATTATCACTGACCCAAACATACCAAAATATTCCTAACGCCAAAACAACGCATTCTTACTTGTCTCACTACGCGCGTGCGTGGAAATGTGGCGGGTGAATCTGAACAAATGTGATATCAACAATGAAGTTAATGAAGATCCATGTGGCGGGAAAATACAGAATTATATTATTTACCTAACCTCATATTTCAGTAACGTTTCTTTCCTTGTTTTTTTTTTATGATTTAAATTAGTTTTTATTCGATATTGTAGAAAAGTCATATTTATGGAACAAAATTCGAAAACATTCAATTACATTTGAAACTTTTGCGGTTACTACTTACAGCTCAAATAAAAACAACTAAAACCAAAATTGTCGCATGTAAATGGTGGCTTGTCTTTATTTGCAGAGTTAAAAGAAAATACAATACATTCTTAAAGAAAAGGAGATACTTTTTACGTATTTTTACATATAGAACTCCCCATCAGTGGCAGTACATATGTGAATACATATTTAGAATAAAATCAAAAGACGTTTTTGAAACACTAGCTGAACCAATTGAATAGAATGTATATTTTATAATATATCACTTTTTTGTTTGCGCATGCATAGATGGGTCCGTAAAACGTGCGTGTGTGCGTATGCGTGTGTGTGTATATGCGTGTGTGTGTGTGTGATTAGAAATGTTTATGTTGTAGAGTAGTTTTCACAGTGGAGGCTTGTATTTCACTAAGTCGGTCCTAAATTAGGTTCGACGTACAAAACGTTAGGAACTTGAAATAAGAGTTAATGACGCAGCAATCTAGTTGTAGTGGTTGATACTTCAATGTCCGACATCGACTGACTCACTCAACTCACTGAGCCCCCTGGCGACTGCTACTACTACTACTTATTATCTGTGGGAGAGTCTATTAACAATAGAATAAGTATGTTCCGGTATAACAGTTTAGTCGTCAGTCACCCGGGAGAAAGAACACTTAATGTTGCTACCTACCCCATGCGTGCGTTGGTGTGTTCCTTCGTTACCCACTGGGAAACACGTTTCCCACTAGAGACTTACATGTTGATGTGTAAGCGGGAAAAGTAAGAAGAGAGTGAGAAAAAATATCGTAGAGTATTTATAGTCCGGAGAGCGTCCTCTAGTAGCGGTTTCAGGTAAGCAAGTAAGTGGAGTTAACTCCCCAAGGTAAGCTTAAATATTAATGCAATACTTAAATACAGCGATCAATTTCTTACCCACACACGTACGTATGCACTTTCACTCACTTCACAACCTTTGAACTTAAAATATTTTCACAATTTTTACACACATAATTGTTGTTGTTACCTGTATACCTTTCTTGTTAATACATTATTATTTGTTTGTACATAGTTCTTGTTGTTTTTTGATATTTTATAATGACGGACACACATTCAATTCCTTCATTTTTTGTTGTGGGTATTCCAGGAGACGCGTGTTTTCCCAGCTCAAACACACGACATACACTACTGCCCGCAATACATTATTAAAACTTAGCAATTAGGAATTGTATGTGTATATGGGCGAAAGATATTATCGCCAGCGGAGACAAAGAGCGTCCTCTTTCAAGATTAAAAGAAGGAAAGAGGAAGAGGAATATTACGTTCGTCCTTTTATAGTCCTTAAATAGTGTCACGTAACAGGCGTTTCGGTGGACCAGGTAGACCATATCTCTGTTGCCTGAAGTCTGACCGTGAGAAAATTGTCCCACCTCCATTGCCATATTATAGGAGTTTATATATATATATATTAACCGCACTCATTATTTTAATGAGGTTGCTTTGAAAATGATAAGAAATATCTTAGTTTTCTCCTGGCTTCAAGACCTACAATACGCGTCCGTGATGTACTAACACCTTAACACAGCAGAAAGAAGGGCTAGAATATAAGAAAGGAATCAATTACAAAAATCAATTGTGCCTGAAAACATTTTATATACAGGAATATTAAGCTGTTCGGAAAATGATGTCCGGTTTTAGAATCAACTTTATACCTGAATTAATGTATTTGTACAATGTTTAAATCAATCAAAATAGGAATCCTGAATATCTATACATTTCTGCAATTGAGTTACAAGATTATTTATACCTTTGCGATAAAACTCTAAAGGTTTGGACACCAAGAAATATTTGAATGTGGTTTCTGCGTCTTCTTTGCAATAGAATGCCTTTTGGCTTAAAAATATTACTAAGATGCTTGAAAAGGTAGTTGTCAGTAGGTGAGAGATCAGGGGAATATGTTGGGTGTGGCAAAGTCCCGTCGGTGACATTCTGAAGTGTCATCCCGGCAACATGTGGCCGAGCATTGTCATGAAGCAGAATTGAACCTCGTCGATTAACGAGTTCTCCTCGCATTTTGTTTAATTGAATGTGCATTTCACCCAGTTGCTGACAGTAAACTTCAGTAACTCCTGGTTAGATTTTAGAAGGTTGTAATAAATAACAACTTTCCTATATTTTAAACTGAATATATTTTCTCAAAAATATAGTGTTTTAAATTAGTATTTTTTTTTTTATTTTAGTATTTTAAATTTTGAATTTAGATTTCTAATTTGATTATCTTTTCTGTCAGCAAAGCGACGATTACCAAACTAACACTGCCTAATAATCTCAGCCACAAACCTTTTTTTACTGAAATATGATAACATTCAAACATTAATTCTATTTTTTTCTCTCCTTCATTGTTTCAGGAATTTATGCCTTCGTTGTATTAAAAGACCACGCCACGCACTCTGACGACATCATCGACAAAGAACTGAAGACTTTGGTGAAATCAAAAATCTCCAGCTTTGCCCAACCAGACAATATTATGGTAAGAGGCGGATCTTGAACTTAAATTTACCTGAATTTAGCTGTTAGTCTTTCAGCTCATTTGAGCAGGATCCCCAGATTCTTCTTGAAAATAGCCAGCGTTGGTGTGCTAACAACATCCCTGGCTGAAGAGTTTCACTTGTCTATCTCCCTTAGGGCAAATAAGTTATATCTTGCCACCGTTTTAGAGTGTTGTATCATCTACTTGTATGAGCGACCACCAGTGGCGTAGCTGAGGGGGGGGGCGGAAGGAGCGGTCCGCCCCGGGCGGAACTTTTGGTCCGTGGTGAGATTTCATAAAAGAAAATTTAACGAATATTTAATATCTCAATAATATCTCAAGCGAAAATTTAGGAATATTTCCTAAGTTTTCGCTTGAGGATGAAACAGGACTTGATACTTTAATTCAATTTAATTTTAATAATTATATTGAGGTTTTCGGCTCTCGTTTTTGAAACATGAGAACTCTTATGTAGAGAAGGAATCATATTTTTTCTAAAAATAATTATAATTTAAGCTCTAGTTCTGTATGGAACACTGTTTAAAAAAATAAAAACAAAAGTACTAAGAACTACGGATTATTTACCTAACGTGTTCTTTCCTATTTTCACACACACACACACACACACACACACACACACACACACACATATATATATATATATATATATATATATATATATATATATGTATATATATAAATTTTAAGGATTTAATGTGCATTGTAATATCGTATTATTTCTGAGGAGGGGTGGCAAATTGAGAGCCGCCCCGGATGGCAAAACACTAGCTACGTCATTAGTGACCACTCATCCTCTTGTGTGAGGGAAAGAACTTGTTTACTGATAGATATCTAGTACATTCTTAAATCTACCATTCGCCCGCGCATTGATACTACTGCCATGTCTGGCCTACCGTACATCGCGAGATTCTTGACAAAATTCAAACAAGTGCCTCTAATCTAATTGATTCTTATGTGACGTTTTCAGTCACTCTCTCGCCGACCTGACGTGTCTTTTCTGCAAATATTTTCATGGGGATTGTTATTATGACCTTTCCACCTTCGTGCCTCGACTGCATGACGACAGTATGAAAGTACTACCAGATTGGCAATTAGGTCTCACACTTTTACTGTTAAACGAGCTAAATGCAAGCGTCAGTTCAACTATAAGAGATTCTTTTCTCGCACTTCTCACATGTGGAACTCCCTTCCGATTTCTTGCTTTCCTGTCAATTACAATCTTAAAGAATTGCCAATCGTTATTTTCTGCTTTCCTGAATTTTGATCTTTTGTGTCCTTTCTCCTATAGGTTTGCCTATCGCCCAGTTCACATTCCTTCTCCGTCTGTTGAACAAGTGTAGAGGCTCCTCCCTCTGTTTCCTGTTTAGAATTAAGTTTCCTGTTCCTTCGCCTAAAGTCTTCTCATTCTCTTTCACTCCCAGTAAGCCCTTGCGTCTTAGTGGCATTATCGCCATCTTCTGTGTTCCTGAAATCTGTTCTTTTATTTTTCCTTTCTCCTCACTAAAGTCTTCTCGTTCTCTTTCAGTCACAGTAACCCCTTGCGTTTTAGTGGCATTATCGTCATCTTCTGTCTTCCAGAAACCTGTTCTTTTATTGTCCTTTCTCCTCACTAAAGACTCTCCATTCTCTTTCAGTCACAGTAACCCTTTGCGTCCGAGTGGCATTATCGCCATCTTCTGTCTTCCTGAAACCTGTTCTTTTATTGTCCTTTCTCCTCACTAAAGTCTTCTCATTCTCTTTCACTCCCAGTAACCCCTTGCATCTTAGTGGCATTATCGTCATCTTCTGTCTTCCTGAAACCTGTTCTTTTATTGTCCTTTCTCCTCACTAAAGTCTTCTCATTCTCTTTCACTCCCAGTAACCCCTTGCATCTTAGTGGCATTATCGCCATCCTCTGTCTTCGTGAAATCTGTTCTTTTATTGTCCTTTCTCCGCATTAAAGTCTTCTCATTCTTTTTCCCTTCCAGTAACCCCTTGCATCTTAGTGGCATTATCACCATCTTCTGTCTTCTTGAAACCTATTCTTTTATTTTCCTTTCTTCACATTCTCTTTCAGTCACAGTAACCCCTTGCGTCCAGGTGACTTTATCGCATTGCTTGGAGGAAATGATTAATCAAAAAGAACCTTCAATTTTATAACAACCGTTCAGTATTTTGAATCCCTGCCACAAATCAGTAGACTGGCATCTTGACTCAAAGAATAGGAGATTGATTCCAACTGCAGGCAGGTTAATGAACCTATCCGGGGCTGTTTGCAATAAGTCGACATCATTTTTGTAGTGTTGTTTCGGGATAACATCTCCATGTTAGAGTACTTGTTGATTAAGAATAATGTAAAAGGTTTTGTTTTCCAATTTTTGGAGTAAGATTCGCCAGGTAGCGTTTGGAAATACCTGTTCCTTAATTGGAACAAGTATGATCTCTCTCAGTCGTTCATCTCTTATGGATATCGCAAATTTTACAAGTACACGGATATACTAATTAGGGTTAGGAAAATTGCCTTGCACCAGTTCGGGAAAAGTATGTCTATTTGCTTGCCTTGAAAATCAGTCAGTCAGTTATGTGCCATGCGTGATACACGCTTAGATGATCATATATCTTTCGATAAATGACTGACGAGGCATATTTTCCCTCAGTAGGTTGTCATTTCTTTCTGCGGTAGACCAGTTGCCATCCAAGGCTATAGAACCCAGTCTGTCCTGCTATTTACTCATAGCTTGGGGGGAGAAGAAGAAGGTTCATACCTTCCCTAAGGGTATAAGCACGTAAGTGAATGTAATAGATTCGACTGGAATTCGAACTCGGCTCTCCTATTCCTCAATCCGAGCCGCTATCCGTGCCTCCTTTGGACATACCTGTTGTTCAACTGGAACAGGTATGATGTATCTCAGTCGTTCATTTATGGATATCGCAGATTTTACAAGTACACGAATATACTGACTACTGAGGGTGAGTAAAATTGCATTGCACCAGTTCGGAAAAAGTATGTCTATTTGCTTACCTTGAAAATCAGTATTGTAGAATCCTGGCTTTTAAACAGTTTCGAACCCTGACCGCGTGAGTTTAATACGCTCATTTATCTTAACCTCGGGAATATTTCTTATTATCTATTAATAATGAATTAATGCAAATATAAATAACTAGACTGACATTGTGGAACAAACTCCCGCGTGGTTGCTTCTCTGAACGCTACACTCTCAACGAATTCGAGTCAAGAGTCAATTTTTATCATCCTGACAACTGCTCTTCTCTTCATAATTACTCAAATTAGCCTCTCAAAGATGGAGTTGTCAAAGGTGCATTTAAGGTACATAATGATTTATGAGTTTAAAAAAGGGGAACTCTACAGCTGAAGCGACCTGAAATATTCACTCAGCTTATGGAGAAGAATGTCTGATTGAAAGAACTTGCAGAAGGTGGTTTGCCAAATTTAGAAGTAGAAAGTTCAGCTTTAAAGATGAAGACCGAACGGGACATCCAGTTGAGTTTGATGATGAGCACCTTGTAGCATCGCTTGAAGAAAATCCTGCCGTATCAGTTGCAGAATTGGCAATGAAGCTTCGTTCAAACCATACAACTGTTCATCGTCATCTTCAAGAACTTGAAAAGGTTCCTAAACCTGGAAAATGGATCACTCATAAATTGTCTAAAGTCAACCACAAATCCCGAAATGACATCTGCTTTTCTCTTGAACTTTCTGCTTCATTCTCGTGAACTCATCTCACCCTTTTTCGATAGACTTGTGATTGGTGATGAAAAATGCATATTTTACCAAAATGTTAAACATCGCAGACAATGGTTTGATAATGGGAAAAAAAGGCCGAAACACAACCAAGAAGGAAACTTCACATGCAGAAGGTTCTTCTCTCAATTTGAGTTGCTACCGACTAATGCAACAATCAATGCTCAAGTCTACTGTCAGACATTAGAACATTTGAATGTGGTGTTGAAAGAAAAAAATGACCTGTTTTAGTGAATCGAAAAGGAGTGATGTTTCTTCAGAACAATGCACGGCCCCACCCTGCAAATATCACATCCCAGAAGATTGAAGAACTTGGTTGGGAAAGAATTCCTCATTTACCTTATTCTCCCGACCTTGCTCTTTCAGACTACATTTTGTTCCGTAGCTTACAGCATCATTTGGATGGATCGACTCTCAAAAGCCATGAGAAGGTCGAAACTGACATTTTAGAGTTCTTCTCTTCGAAACCGAAATAATTTTTTATTAGTGGGATTAAAAAGCTTGTAAGCAGATGGAAGGAAGTCATAGATAATCATGGAAACGACATTGATGAATGAATTTCAATATAATGCAAGATTTGATCACTCGTTCATTATTATTTAAAATCCGGTCAGAACTTATAGGATGACCTGATACATATAATTTGAGCATTTAAATGTGGCGTTAAAAGAAAAAAAAGACCTATTATAGTGAATCGAAAAGCAGTGGTACTTCATCAGAACAATGCACGAACCCACACTGTAGAAATCACATCCCATATTTACTTTATTACTAGTTCTGATTCACGGCAAATCCCTTAAGTCGATCTTCACTGAGCTTAGCTTAGGCTTGCCTAGAGTCAGAATAGATAGATAGCCAACCAGTAGAGCCTATCAGTTTTGGAGAGGACTATCCAAACATATATAATCCCTAGAAACGTACAAAAAAAACTGTACTAAAGTTCGCCCATTGCAATACTCAAGCGCTACTCAAGGTAGAGCGTTATTGACCTAGGTGTGCGCGAAAGGAACGTAAGAAGACGTGGTAGGAAGTGAAGATTTCGCTGATATTACGATTGATACTTGACTTGCACTGTTCGAGAAAGCATCTCAGCGGGATTCTGTTCCACAGGGCAGCGGTTCTTGGGAAAGAGCAGTCCTAGTGGAACTTTCTTCTTAACAATGGAATATGGGGGGAATGAAGATGATTCGACTCTGTGGACGTGGCAATGCGTGTTTTGGCTGTAAAATATTTGAACTAGTGGCACTAAAGAATGGAGACGGTTGTATATGCTGAAGACTAGCATTTATACGTTGTATTAGCCATGCTGGATAAAACCCAGAATTGGAAATAATGAAAGGAAAGGAGCGCCGAAACAAACATTATGTCCCTTGATAAAATTGCTTCCAGAGGACCAGCCGATGATGGTCGAACTCATTTTTTATGGTAGTCCTTTATAATTTTAATCTCACATATTCATTCATATATATATATATATATATATATATATATATATATATATATATATATATATATATATATTTGTTTGAATAAAAGACAGACCACGTTAAGATTCCATGTAATAAACTATTTAACCATAACCCCTTTAACAGGGTTCTGGATCATCAGACTTTACTTCCAAAAGCTGAAATGAAAAATGAAAAGAAATTCACACGTTTTTTACGGACCTCATCAAGTATACGTAAAGTTAACGAAGTGAGGAAGTGAGGTGGGAGAGAGGATATGAGTGTGTCATATGTATCATTTTAGTTTCCTATTTTAACCCCAGTGTGTCGGCTAGATGTTGCTCAAATTTAACGCGTCTCGTCTCTAGATATAGATGGCTAAGGGGTGAATGATAAGAACGACATTAAAGGAAGAAGTTACAACAACCCCAATAAATTACACGACAGCTTTCATTCAAATTCTTAGACGCTGTCAGTTGGCGTTACTTTAACGTGCATATTTGGGAGGTTAAGGTTTGATAAATATCTAAATTTTAAAACAATCTACGAAGAAATTAATTTGAAATTCGGTGGAGTTTTGGGTATTCTCTATGAAACAATCGATTGGAAAAATCCATAGACAGAACATTGAAAGAGCAATCCATTTAGTATTTTTTTTTCACTAAAGCTTTTATCTTATAGCTTGTTAGGTTGACATCTATTCGTTTGATTTTTGTTCATTAAGTAAACTCGTGATTGTTTTTATGTACCCAATTATCAACGGTTATTCCCATTTAAATAATTTTATTCTCCACACTGGGGTAGAGTCTTTCAATCTCTATCAATTAAAATACCAATCTAAACTTTCCCTTCGTGCTATTTAAAATTCACTTCCAATTGAAGAATATTAGAGGAGATATTTGGAAGAGATGTCACTAGCAAAAAATTAGGTCCTTCTTTTACAATATTTTATCTACACATGTCTTAAACCCCTATTTGTAACCACATACCTATATCTTCTTATATGCCTATGAGTTCCTATATACACCTACACACACATTCACACGAAACGACCATATGTATATTTCCATCTTTACACATATACACCTGCAGAGAAAACGCACATCTACATGTCTCCATACCTATCTCCATATATACTTATACTTACATATATACATATACACAAGGACATCTGCATATTCATATATATTCATACGCACATATATATATTTACACACCTATATGTATACACATATACACATACATACCCACACACATATATGCATGCATACATACACACATACATATACATGCACACATACATGCATATGCATACGCAATATGCAGCATATCTACATACCCACACATGCGTTAACTTGCACTTACATATATCTACACACGTATTTGCCCCTATCCTCATGTCCACCCGTGCATCCACTTATGCCTGCGTTCGAAGACTATCTCAGTATTTAATTACATTATCTATATCTTTACACATATAATATTAGCCGATCTTTCATATTTATGGTAAAACATATAAGTACCTATCTAATTGTACATCTCCACACTCAAAAAAAAAACAAAAAAAAACTGGTATGCTTCTTTTTCCGTATAAAAACATATACATGTACATATCAACAGGTGTCTCAGTGTACAAATACATTATCATAGTTGTATACATATAGTCATGTGTTAGCGTTCATGTGTGCATAGTAATATTTCTAAAAACAAAGGGAATATAAAACATTCAAAATTGCTGTTCCTATATGATTATTTCTCAATGTACTTGCTTAGGTTTAGGTTGTTTTTGTGCCGGCATTTAAAAACTAGTTCATTGTGTCTATTTAGTAGTATGTCTGGATCTTTATGTTTGATTATGAAGATTTTCTCCTTCAAACATAAGTTGCATCTGTCTCTGAAGTTTTTGGGAGTTCTGGCTCTTGATATTTTTCTCCACTTTATTTGTGGTGTTAGGCCACTCTCCAACAAAAACCAATAATGATTTGATTGTGCTGTTTGGTTTTTTTTTACATTTATTTTTGAAGGATTGGCGATGGTTGTATAGTCGGTGTTTCCAATATCCCGCTGATATTCCTATGTATATCTTTTTCTCTTCAACCTTTTCTTTGGGGAAAATTGTTGCTTCATATATTGTGTTCTCTGCCATGCATATTCCTTCAACTGGGCACTCTGATCCTGTCCTGCAGTTGCATGTTGATTTTTCCATTCGTGTTGTATCCTGATTTTGTCTTAGATTATCCTGAAGGTCTCTTAAAATTTTACTGTTGTGTGAGCTAATAATTCTTTCCATATTGTTCATGCAAGAATAGCTAATCTTTAGATTCATCTTGTTGAATATTTTTTTCAGAGATGCATTTTTGCTAAATTGTTTTTCTATCAGTTTTATGAAGTATTTACCTATATTAATATTGGAGAGGTTACAAAAAGGTGGGTTGAACCATATAATTTTCCTTTTCCTATTTTTGGGTTTAGTGGATTTTTTTATTTACTGACTTATCTATGTAATTTAGTGTTTGCTTAAAATTGCTTTTTAACAGGGCTTTATTGTATTCCCATTTATTCTGGTTAAAAATGGTTTTACTGGAGGAGAGTGTATCTATTCTTGCATTTACTGTACTTGGAATTTGTTTAATTATTGATTTCGGGTGATTGGAGTGGATATTTATATATATGGGTGATTGGTTTTCCTTTTGGAAGGGTTTATAAGTATTATTGTTCAGATTAAATGTAACGTCTAGGAAGTTTACTATTTTTAAGTTGGAAGAAATCTCGATTCTAAATCTTAGAAATTTGAAGGCCCTAATTATTTTCTTTTGTAGCTGAGATGTTAACGGACCATTAGTATTAGGTACAGCAACTAACCCGTCATCTCTGTATAGTCCTATATTTTGAAGGTCAAGGAATCTACTTAGGATATCTAAAATGTATATACCTATTAGGTCTGCTATTTGAGCTGAATCAAAAGATCCCATTGGGACATCAAAATTGTCTCTATCTTTTTTAATCCAAGTAGTGTTGTTCAGTTTTAGTATGGACTGTCTAGATTCCATTATGATTTTTATTTCTTCGTCAGTAATGTCAGTGTGGATTCTGGCAAAACTTAAGCTATTTTCTAATAATTCTTTAGAGATTGAGGGGTAGAAATCAATGATATCAAGTTGTATAAAAGTAGTATTATTTTTATTCTTTATTTTTTGGAACCAGTTAATGGTGTTCGATGAATCTTTCCAAAGGTTTAAAGGGTATTTTTTAATTATAGATGTGTTTATTCTTTTTGGGATGTTTTTAGAAATTATTCCTAACTCTGATTTGGAGGGATTTATTAGTCTGGACTGTAGATTATTTTGAAAGTTAGGTTTATGGTCTTTAAAAAGTAGGTAGGCGTCTTTTAGATGAGTTGTATCAGGAATATTATATTTTAATGCTAATTTCGCAGTTTCTTTGTGTATGGAGGATAAGTGTTTAGCATTGTTGTCTTTCTTATAAGAACCAGAGACTTTATTTTGAATCAGATGGTTGTATTCCGAGGGATTCATTTTGTAAATATTTTTAGATTTGTCAGCTCTGATCCATAGTTATTTTTTTTAATTTTTTATATTTGTGATGTCTTTTTTGAGTTTGGATTGGAATGGGTTGTATTTTTTCTGGAAGAATATTTTCTTAATTAACTCAATTAAATCTTGTTCAAAAGGTTCTAATAATTTATTGTTTGGTGGAGTGTTTTCAGATTTAAAGTAAAAGGCTTCATCTAGTTTAGTGGGTTTGTCATGGGGATTAAGATGGAAGTGAATTTTCCACCTCATTCTTTTTATGACGTCAATGATTTTTTCCGTCAAAGACATGGTGAAGGATTCAATCGTAGGGTGAGTAATGTTCTTGAGTGAGTATTCCGGTGTAAATTTATCCATTTTAGTTTGGCAGTTTGGATCCCTATGGTAATCTGATAGGAGGTAATCCAACCGAGAGCTCAACTTAATTTATAAGGAGCTGATGATCCAGAACCCTGTTAAAGGGGTTATGGTGAAAGAGCTTATTACATGGAATCTTAACGTGATCTGTCTTTTATTCAAACATATCTGCTCTGAATTTTACATTGAGCTCTCTGGATATCATCCTCCTCAGGTCTACCTATACGGATTACCTAAATTTGCATATATATATATATATATATATATATTTTTTTTTTTCAGGTTCTTCCAGGTTTGCCCCGCACTCGATCCGGAAAGATCATGAGGCGAATCCTGCGTAAAGTCGTGTGCGGAGAATCAGATTTCGGGGACGTTTCAACTTTAGTGGATCCATCTATTGTCGAACTCATCCTCAAGAGGCAGTCTGAATCCGCGCATCGTTCTCTCTGATTTCTTGCTACTGTCATTAACCACCCCCCGACACACACCGTTCCCAAAAACCCCGAGATTTGGGAATTAGACCGACTAAGTTCACCCCAACCCGACACCACCACCACCAACAACAGCCCCATCCATTATTATCTGTCTCCTCCTCTGAATCCATACAAATACTCCGATTTCCTGACTACTAACCTATCAAGAATTGAAACGTTTTAATCTGACCAGTGCCCAAGTTAATTGGCGGAATTCTCTCTTCTGCATTGGTCACTAGAGTACTTCTTCGATTATCCGGACTTCGATTATCCGGACGTCAGATGAGTAGAAAAAAAAAATGAAATCATCCGAACATTTTTCAATTATCTGAACAAAGCCCATTCTAATATTTCATCTCGAGTAATTCTTGTTAACTTCCTCGTTGGCTTCAACAAGAACAATCTACGCCGATGGACGAAATAAAGGTTTCGAATCGAACCCTTTACTTCGTACACCGGGGTAGATTCTTCTAGTTCCACGTGCCATGCCTTTTTCTGGATGTCTTAGTTTCAGTTATTTCCCTTACTTGAACGCATTAATGATGGCACAATGAAAAGACGTGTTTCGCCATCACCCCACCCCCTCCAGAACCAGGGACATTTAGTCCTCGGGCAAACCAACTTTTAATCTCAACCGAACTACGTGACCCATCACACACACAAACATACATATTTAATCACATCAATATATTTTTCTCTTTTTCTGAGCTATGTTATAATAATAATAATAATAATAATAATAATAAAACATGCATGCGTTGGATTATTGCGAAAATATTGAAGCAATCATTCCCTCGACTTTCCATCGGTGAGGTGTAAGTTCCACTCCAGCAGCTTCTTCCCGCGAACCGCTGCTCTGTGGAAACGACTCCCAAGAGGATGTTTCCCTAATCACTACACTCTTAACCTGTTCGAGTCTAGGGTGGTATGCGTTGGAATTTCGGACTTAACCATTTACTTAGTCCACGTACCATCCCTTTTCTGGAATGGTATGCGAAATAAGTTTCAGTTTCAGTTATTTCTTTTTAGTAACTCAACTCAAGTTTTTTTTATCCCCCCCCCCGGCTGTGGTCAGATGATTGCTGTTCGAAATTCCAATGTATATCACCTGAAGAAGGCCCAAGTGTACAACGGCCGAAACGACAGTGAATAAAAAAAAGTACTACTTTATAGTGATTTTCCAAGCGTAGCTTAGACGTAGAACAAGGCCGAAAGTAGGGGGCACTCAGTGAGGATCGAACTCACTACTCAGTCGTAATTGTTCTAGCGAGGCAAGCTTGCTAACCATTACACTATCTCGAGGTGTCCTAAGAACTACTTTATACATTTGCAACAAAAAAGAATAAACGTTACAGAAAAGATGAATTCTGAATTCTCTTATCTTCTAAGGATTTTTAATGGTAAATTAAAAAATTAACATCAACACATTACATTTTGTTTAGGAATTCATGGAAATTAATAACTTTGATTTTAGATCGAGTGGCAGGGAAAAAAAACGCTAGGCCAGCCCAAAACAGATAAAAATTGAGGCATTATTTTTTAATCAAAAACAAACTGGACAAAACCTGTTGGGTACTTCAACGTAGTATAATGGTTAACCACGCTCGTCTCACTAGACCAATTACGACTGAATTACTAACTGCCTTCGTACTTTCGACCTTGGGCCACGTCTAAGCTAGGCTTAGAAAGCGAACAATTTGACGTGGTGTAATGGTAACAGGCTCGTCTCGCTAGATCAATTACAATTGACTTACTAACTGCCTTCGTACTTTCGACCTTGGGCCACGTCTAAGCTACGCTTAGATAAACCTCCAAAGAGTTCGAAAAATTTTTTGATGATATAAATGTTAAATTTCTTTCAGAAAATTGATTTTTTCTTCATTTTTTTTTCGATCATTTACGAATTCAGTTAACCGAAATTTTGAATTATTCAAACATATTCTTCAACCCCTGCCTCAAGGTGTTCGGATAATCGAAGAAACGCTGTATTCCAAGATCTGAAAGCCATCAAGAGCAGCTTTTGTATTATTCCAGATGCTTCTTTTACGCAGAGAGGATCCTTCGGTTAGACTTTTGTGTTCCGACTATAATATGCACCTCTTACTCCCCACCTCTTACAACAACCTCATTCATTAACCCTCTACCTGGAGTGTATCTCGGGCCTTGTATTGTGTGAAGCATAGTATACATATAAAAAGTAGAATGAGTAATGGAAAGGAATCTTTTGTGTGATAATGGCGCTTTGTATCGTTTTTTTTTTTTTTTTTTTACTTCGTCTCCTCGATAAACTATATCTAAAAAAAAAGGAAAATACTAAGCCTTTTTTTCAAGGCACTCAACATATACTTGAGGAAGACCGAAAAACCGTTCGGCCAAAATTAGAAAAAAAAATAAACAAATTATTGAGAGATGAAGATATTAGTCCAGATAATGCGTAGAACAATAAAGGGAAAACATGAGAATTCAAGTATTTTCTGCTACAGTGTAACCCAGATATAAGAGACCCGGATATAAGAGAAAACCCGGATATAAGAGAGATTTTCTCTGGTCCCAAAGTGTTCCCATACTTACCTAAACAAAATAGACCAAACCCAGATATAAGAGAAACCCGGATATAAGAGACTTCTTCTCTGGTCCTGACAACTCTCTTATATCCGGGTTACACTGATTTTATTTTTTTAAGCCACAAAAAAAAAGATTTTTTTTCTTCATATCAAATGAAGGTTGCTAGTTTTGTTGTTTTTATTTTTATTTTATTTGTTTTGAAAACTAATATTTGATAAATAAAATATAAATTTTATTTAAATTAACCAAAGTTTACGAGTATTTATTCCAAACATATATTGTTTATAAGTCGGTTAGGCAAGTCGCTGTTCATACCGTATTTCGCTACTAATAAGATTGTTTTGTAATGTACAAAAAGACTCGAATTTACAAACTTGGCTTCACAGTAACACACAAAGCGGATCCAAAACAAAACTCGTAAAATTTCACACCTTAATGCGAAATGTTTTTCGACCAATAGAAAACTAGAAAACATTTAAAAACCAAATTCAAATAATCTTTAATTCTCAGAAACAAACTCTTTTACGGTCCTTTTCGCGAGCCATTGCAAAAATGTGTTCATTGTCCAATGGAAAGGCTCGTATCATATCCGGAAGTGACCTTTTCAAGCTTCACAAACAAAACAAAAGACGAGAGAGAAGATACGTGGGTATTGACACTCCCTTGACAAACTTCAAAGTCCGTTATTATTGTCTCTACCTTTCTCCTTCACCTCTTTGACACTTGATAAACGAAAGGAACATTAAGACTGAGCGATTACTTCAAAGACATTCCTACCCTACGATAACGCTCACACATACATACATCCACACATATGTTCCCGCCTACGTACACATAAATTCATTCTTGCAAGGAGTACTACGAACACTTCGACGACCTTGTATCAACCAGAATACATTAATTTTATGTGTAAAAAACGGCGAAAATTTCTGAGACGGCAAAAATACTTACGGCGAATGGAACATTCTTTGGGTCCTGTCACTGGATCTAACCAACGCCTTTATCCACTGTGCCATGTGTCCTTCAATACCCGGTTAAGGCAGTGGAGAACTTGCAAAAGGGGAATTAGCAGGGGATAACTGATAACTGACATCCATCAAACATGGCACGTGGAACTAGAACAGTCTACCCCAGTGAGCGAAATAAAGGGTTCAGTTCGAAATTCCAACCACCTGAAGAAGGCCGGGGCGTACAACGGCCGAAACGTTGTGATAAATATGGCGAAAAAGATGAGGACAATAGTCCGAATAATGTAAATAATGTACATAATATCTCATCTCAGAAATATAGTGAAATATATATGTATAAAAAAGAAACCCCAAACGTAACTCTTGAAAATCACGTTTCCTGCCAACTAACGTTTCTATGAATATTTGTTTTTAATCAGAGTAGGTACTTCCACTTTTTCAGCATAAATCTTCGATACCTAAGGTTTAAAATGAATTTTGAAAAATGAAAAGGCATTCTTGAAGATTTCATTTTAGGTTTAATTGGAAGCTAAAGAATTAAATTTATTATTTCCAGTAAGTAAAATATTCTGGTGTATTCCAGATAGAAATTATATAGATTAGAATGTCAAATTTAATTTCGATTTCTTAAAATTTTCTTAAAAGCGGCCATTTTCTTAATTTTAAGAAATTTGTAAACAAGACAAATTTATCGATTTTAAAACTCTTCCAATATATATATATATATATATATATATATATATATATATATATATATATATATATATTTCTGACACTTTATTTGAGTAAAATTAAAAAATTTAATGTTAAATTAATCTGATTTAAAATAAATATTACTTAGCATAAAAAATATTATACAACGTTTTGTTACTGATCAGCCGTGTTTATCCGAAACGATGTTTGATGGATGATTGAGTGACGAAGCGTTGACAGCCAGTATGGCTGACTAAAATTGACATAAAATTTACGAAATCTAAGTGAAGATTTTTTTTAACTACCTAGTAATTTTTACAAATGGACATATTTTCTGCAATTTTATAATAATTTATTGACTTTTATTTACTTTTCGAAGATGATTTATGCAAAAATAAAAAAAATTTAAAATACTATAAAATTTTCTTCTGTAAAGAGACAAAACTCTTGGATCACGTGACCTTCTCATAATAATGTTACATTTAGCCTTTCATAGATGAAAAAAGAGAACAAACTAGAAAAATAAAAAAAATTATTTCAAAAATAGAAAAGTGTAACTACGTTTATTAATCTTTTCGATTTCGGAATCGTAAATTTCGTTTCCACTTAATTACTATATCACATCCAGGAAATAGTCCAATACAGAATTTTACACGATTTTAAACTATTATAAATTATTATAATTTTATTAAAAAAAAAATGAAAAAATTCTTGTAAAAATTCATTATTCATCGGAAAAATTTTATTTCTT